CCTCGCCGCCCACGGGGCCGCCCCAGCCCGAGCCCGAAGGCCCCTGTTGGCCCTCCATCTCCAGGAGGGGGGCGGGCACCCTGACCTTCCAGGAGGGCTAAAACAATAGCACCCGACGTAAAAACCTATCCCAGAGCTATTTTACGTCTTGGTTTTAGGCTGTTTCGTATCGTTTGTTAGGTTTTTAGGTTCCCAGTGCTAAAACATAACTCTCTGGAAGGTCAGGGTAAGGGGGGGGGAGCATTGAAAAGCGCGCCTGGCGCCCGTGCCACTCCCCAACCCGAGATTCTGGTCTTCGGGCGGGGTTGGGGTGGTCTCGCAGGTATAGTCGGATCCCCGGGGCGGCGGCCGAGCGGGCCCAGCCGCCGCTGCGGGCCCGAAGGCAGCCCCTCGGGTGTCCGGGTGCGGCCCCGCTGCGGCATCGGCCGAGGGGCCCAGCCCACGCCGCCACCTCTGTATGCCATCCTGGGCTGCCCGAGTTCGTGCCGCCCGAGCCTTGCTGAACGAGGGCGGAGGGGGGGAGAGGAGGGAGGAGGGGAGCGGGAAGGGGGAGGGAGGGGGGAGGGGGGAGGGGGAGGGGGAGGGGGGAGGGGGGGGGGAGGGGGAGGGGGAGGGGGGGAGGGGGGAGGGGGGGGGGAGGGGGGGAGGGGGGGAGGGGGGGAGGAGGGGGAGGGAGGTGGGCGGGGCGCAGGAGGAGGGGAGGAGCGGCCGGGCGCCTTGAAGACGTCGGCGGTGGGGCCGTGGCCCCTCAGACGGCGAGCCAGATCAATGAGGATATCGCGTCGGAGGGGAGGTGGGCGCGGAGGGGGGCAGGAGGAGTCACAAGGAGGGGGGGCAGAAGCAGCAGGAGGGAATGGGGGGGTGAGCACGACCAGCAGGAGAAAGGCATAATGAGGATGTACGGCACGAGGAGGCGCATTACCCCCATCAGTATTTACACATAAAATGGGACTTGGGATCCCTGGCCAGCTGTCGGGGCCGGGATGCGCTCGCAAATTGACATCGCCGGCAGCACATCGAGCTCGGGAACTCGCTGCGCACCACGCACGCGACATCCTGCAACGCGGACTCCTCGCGCTCGCACGCAATCTGCGCAGGAGCGCCCGTGCTCTACATCTTTTTCCTCCGTCAAGGCGCACGCAGCGGGGGTCAGCGCCAACAAGGGGGCAGCTAATCCCATCCCACCCCCCCCGGCTGATCGGGGCTTGGAAGCCTCCAGGAGCCGCCCCCCCCCCCTCTCCCCATCCTCCGCCGACCCCGTTTGGGGACTCGTGCCTCAGGCCCGCTGGGGGTCGCGGTGTAGCCTCGGCTGACCCAGGTCAGCCCGTCCTTCTTCTCCGCCTCACCATGCCCGCGGAGGCTTGGGCACTGACCACGCTCTGCGGACGGGACCATCATCATCATCATCATCATCATCATCATCATCATCATCATCATCATCATCATCATCATCATCACCACCACCATCAGCATCCGTAGCCGTTTCGGCTCCAAAGGCTGAGCAGTGAGGGGTTTATCCCTGCTCGCCCCACGCCCACACCTTCGCCCGCCCTGAGTGGCTCTCTGTCGGCACCGCCGCGCGGGAAGAGCTGGCGCTGTGGACGGGGGAGGCCCGGGGCAGGTCGCGGCGGCCGTGGCCGCGGCCATCCGCACGGGCACAGAAGAGCTGGCGGGCGCCCGTATCCGAGGGGTGCGATCATAGCCCCCATGAGGGGAAGCGGACCTCATGCCCAGTGCCCCCAGACGGGCATCATGTGTTTGCTCGTGCGCTGCGGTCGTGCCCATTCATGAGGTCAGAGAGCAAGCTTCAGGAGGGAAAAAAAAATCACACAGACACAATTAATCGTCGATTCCCAGGAAAATATGGGAAGTGGGGGGGGGAAAACGAAAACCCAGAAGATATGGGAAAATAGGGGGAACATGTTTATTTGTGTGTATTTCTTCGTGTGTCCTGGGGCCCCTTCAAAGCTGGCGAGCGCCTGGCGGCGGCCGGTGCGCCAGCGGGCCTGGAGCCGGCGCTGCCCCTGCACGCGCCAGCGGGCGCCTGCGCTGCCGGGGCCGACCGGCGCGAGCACGCCGTGCGGGCGCCGTGCGGGCGGCGCGGGCTGCCGGAGGGCATGTCTCAGGAGGGAAAAAACCACACAGACACAACGAATCGGCGATTTCCCAGAAAATATAAGAAAATATGGGAATTGGGGGGGAAGACAAAAACCAAGAATATATATATATATATATATATATAAAATAAGAAATCCTTTTATTTGTGTGCATTTATTGGCGTGTCTCAGGGCCCCTTCAATGCCGCCCTGGGCGGGGGGCCAGAGGCGCGGACCGCGCCTGGCATCAGGAGAGGAAGAGGCACCCAAATACCGCTACCCTTCCCTCGTTGTCCCCCTTCTTTGTGCCTCCTGCATGGGAGGCCCATCGTGGCCACCGCTGGACTCGCTTCGAAATCCGGGTCAGAACGCACCCCGGGAAAGGTCCGGGGAGTATCAGGAGGGAAAAAAAACACACAGACACAATGAATCGGCGATTTCCCAGAAAACATAAGAAACTATGGGAATTGGGGGGAACACAAAAACCAAGAAAATATTGAAAAATTTTGGGAATCCTGTTATTTGTGTGTATTTATTTGCGTGTCTCAGGGCCCCTTCAATGTCGCCCTGGGCGGGGGGCCAGAGGCGCGGACCGCGCATGGCATCAGAGGAGGAGAAGGCACCCCTACCGCTACCCTTCCCTCGTTGTCCCTTCTTTGTGCCTCCTGCATGGGAGGCCCATCGTGGCCACCGCCGGATTCGCTTCGAAATCCGGGTCAGAACGCACCCCGGGCAAGATCCGGGGAGTAGCGGCACTGGTGGCTTTTGGTCTCCCCATGGCAGCTCCCAGGCGACTCGCCTGCAGGGTGCCCTCGATAGCTGGCGTTTGCCGCGCCGGAGGAGTGGGGAAGCTGCGCTGCTGCCCCTGTGGGGTACGGCCGCGGGTTCGCGAGAGCAGTGCCAGGGTTGGTATCCCGCGGCGCCCGATACCGTGTCCTCCTGTTCTTCGGGCCCCTGACACCCTCGCGTGGTGTGAAAAAGGCGATGGGGGGCTTTGGGCAGTTTTCAATCTCTAGGGGGCCCTCACTGGGCCCCTGGACCGTCAACAAACTGCTCGGGCTGAACGACTGGTCCCGCGGAAGGCGTCCAGACCTTTAGGGTCCACGCTCTGGAAACAATCGGCGTCGGATGTTTTGGGCCCGAGGTGATCCTGTCTCATCATTGGCGTGATCGGCGACTGACAGGAACACCAATGTTGCTTTCTGGTGTCGCGAAGACGGCTCGTGTTTTTCTGCGGCAGTGTGCTGGCGCCTGCTTGGGGGAGAATCTTCCCCGACGGCCCTGGGCCCGAGCGGGGGGGAAGTCTGCGCCCGCACTGGCTGGCCGCGGAATGCCGTCGGCCTTTCGCGTTCTGGCAATCGTCTGCACGGGTCCCTGCCCCGTGGAACGGGCCGCCCGCCGTAGCGCAACCAACCCGTATTCCCCCCCTCATTCCTTCCCCCCGTCACCCCCCCGCCCCACCACTGGCCCCCACCCCACCCCCCCAGCATTCCCACCCACCACCAATCCGTTGATGCACTCTGTTGCCGTGCGCAGCGGAATCATATTAGTAATAGTCATATCAGCATCAGCATCATCATCAGCAGCATCAGCATCATCATCATCGCCATCAGCATCAGCATCATTATCGTCATTAGCATATTATCATTTCCATCATCATCATCATCAGCATCATCATCATCATCAGCATCATCATCATCAGCATCATCGTCATCATCATCCTCATCATCATCATCATCATCTGTACCACCATTGTTACCAAACACCGTCATCATCATCGCCATAATCATCAGCAACATCATCATCATCATCATCATCATCATCATCATCAGCAGCATCATCATCGCTACCATCACCACCATTTTCTTCCTCACCATCATCAGCATCAGCGGCATCACCGTCCCGTTCATCGCCACCAGTTGCACCATCCGCGGTAGCACAAAAACTACAAAAGTCGTTGCCTATGAGTGTCCCCGCTGAGCGCGTTCGACGTCTCAGCCCACGCGGCCGCTGAATGGGCCGTCGGACGCGTTCAATTTGGAGTTGGCGGGGGGATTATGACCTCGCAACGAAGTGCCCCTTGATCCAATCCGCCCCCGCGAGACCCAGACCCACGCCGAAGGTCGAACGAGAACAAGGCCATCGGCCTGCAGGGCGTCGGGTGGCGGTCTCCTCTCGAGCGGGGCCCCCCTTGGCCTCAGCGACCAGCGCTCGACGCTCGCCCCCAGCAGACGAGGCGAGAGGTTGGCCGCCGTGTTTTTTTTTTTTTTTTTCAATGGTTCAGTTGTACGTTCCCCACTCCGAAGAGTGTATGTTCAATAGTTCAGTTTTTCGTTCTCCGCTCCGAGGAGCTCCATCGTCCCTCGTGCCTCAGTTGAGGGCTGGAGAGACGGAGGTGGAGGCATGAGGATGAGGAGCGAGACGGAGGAGCGACTGGGATGAGTACTGGAGAGGAGGGTTGAGGAGAATGCTCGAGGGGAGCTGTTGAGGATAAGGTTGGGAGAGGTTGGATGAGAGGGAGGGAAAGGGAGATGATGAGGACTCTGAACTCCGACGCCATTTTTTTGTCAATGTGGACCCCAGGATGTCTGAACCCCTTTCCCTGGACTGGTTTTTCGTCCTTGGTTTGTCCCGGGGGCTGGCGAGGGCCCCCAGAAGCCGAACACTTGCAACATCTTCCCGTCGCGATACCTTCACAACGCAAAGATGTCAGGGGGCCAAGAGGTTCGACTTCACGAAACATTGCAGTGTTGTAGAGCAACTCGACCGCAGCCCTGGACCCCACCTTTCGGCTGCATTGTTCGAGCCGCATCAATCCGTGAGAGCACGTGGCCCGAAACAGGGCCAAATGGTTGGTCGTGAAAATGATGCGGCGCCCGGATCTCAGGAGGTGGAGGGTCGTAGGCAGCGCTGGGCTCAAGCAGTGCAGGACACCCCTCCGGAAGCGCAACCGTCTACGTATCTCGCATGCGTGCCGGGGCCCGGCTCGGCGGACCAGCCCGGCGGCTGGTGCCGCTGTTGCTGCCTGCCGTGGCGGGCTGGACGTCTGCGGCGCCGGTCGCCGAAGGCGTGGAGGGGGGTCCCATTGCTGGTTTTTCGGCGGGGTTGGGCTGGGGACACTGGGCTGGGGAGCGTGAGAGCCCACAGATCCGAGGACCTGATTTTTCCAGCCTGCCGTTTTTTCCTGGCTTTCGGCCTCTGGGGCCCGTTATCGGACCCGGGGACATCCAAAATGGATCTGGGACGAACCCCCCCCGGGGAAGGGGTCGGGACCTCCGGGGCCCGGGGCCGCGGGCCGTGGAGACCTCTGGGGATAGATGTTGGAAATTGGAACATATGCCTTACCAGTGGCGGGCTTGTTTTCTTTCCCAGGGCTCTTTGAGGGTCGGGGACGGCGTCGGGGTGATGTGGTGTGTACTGTTCCCCGCGTTTTCCCGGGGAAACAATGAGAAACGTGTACACCAGGAGCCCGTGTACACCAGGATTCGGTTTTCTTGTGCAAGTGTCAGTGCAGGGCCCGAGAAAGCGTCGATGTAGAGTTTGTTTCTTTAAGATGATGAATCGAGGAAGCGCCAAAATGGATCAGGGCGCGCGGATTAGCGACGAGGGATAAGAGGAAGGGGACTTGATCGACGAAGAGCAACTTGCGTGAACATACACTGTCCCAGCTCGACGCGGATTTCTTGGATCTGCGCCGGGTCCCGCTGGCGGCACCTCATGGCGCTCTGGCGCTGCCTCTGACGCGCTCCGCGCGCCAGGGAGAGGGTCCAGCGCCATTCCAGGAAATCCGAAAGTTGCTCTCGTAATGGAGGATGAAGGCGCCCTCCCCAGGCAAGTTGCCCTCCCCAGCGCTCGGGCCCAATACATGTCGTCGCTCAAAAGACCATCATCGCAGTGAGGGGGCCGCGCGTTCTTGCGATGTTTCTGGGTGCGTTGGTGAAGTGGGGCTCTGCGGTGCCGATTCTTGCTGTGTCGAGGTGCTGTCGTCGTTGTCGCCCCCGCGCCCGCCTCGCGATCCGCCTCCCGACCCACCCGCGACCCACCCGCGACCCACCCGCGTCCCACCTGCGACCCACCTGCGAACCACACGCGACCAGCCCGCGACCCACCCGTGACCTTCCCGCGACACCCCCGCGACCCACCCGCAACCCTCCTGCAATCCCTCCGCGATTCCCCCGCGACCCACCCGCGAATCACGCTCGCCACTCGCGCTCGCTACCCACGCAGTTGAATTGAAATCGCCGCTTGCGTCGGGCTGTTTGGTTTGACTTCACGCAGGCGTTTGCGTCGGGATGTTTTACGTTAGCCTTGGAGCTTTCGCGACCCGCCGACGCTCCACCTCGTGGCCCACCCACATTCTTGTCTCGGAAATCGGCACCTGCGGCGGGCTTCTTTACATTGGCGCTCCAGTCCCGCTGCACGCCGCAAGGCAGCCGAAGCGTCCCTCCCTCTGACTCGCCAGTTCGGGGTGCCATGTATATTTCAGGACTCCTCTTGCCAGCTCCTCCTGCTGCTTTGCCGCGCGCAGCTCCACGTTCGCGGAAGCAGAAGGCAGGGGCAGCGCCAGACCCAGACCCCCGACGTAATGATTTTTTCATTACGTCGACCTCCAGAGGTCCCGACCCTTTCCCCATGACCGGCTTTGCATCCTGAGTCGTTTTTTGAGGCTCCCGAGGCCCGGTAAGGGCCCCCGGAGGCCGAAAATTAGGAAAAACCTCCCGTCATGATTTTTTCAGTACTCGAGGGGGTCTGGGGAAGAGGAGGTGCCGCACTCTCCCGGCACTTCCCCAGACAACCGCGGGCCGAGCCGGAGCCCCGCGGCGCAGCCGAGTGCGCCAGAGGGCCCTGCCGGAGGCCAGCGGCGACGAGGCAGAGCACCGCCTCGTGCCCGCTCCCGCTCCATGGAGCGCCTCGCCCTGCCGGGGACCTGGCCGGGATGTGCACTCCTGGCATGCCAGCTGGCAGCATGTGCATTCCTGGAATGCGAGGATGCTCCTTCCTGGGGTGCTCTTTCCTAGATTCCTGGGCTCCTAGGATCTATTGCTAGATGCCGAGGGTTTGGCATGTTCATTCGCTCCGCGGTCATTCCGTGGCCAGCGCTGCTGGAAGAAAGTTCAGTCCGAGCATGTCCGCTCGCTTCTCTGGCGTACATCTCCTTGCCCGAAAGGGTTGGCCGTAAAGGTGGCCGGAGTGGTTCTGCGATAGGTGATGTTGTCCGCAAGACACAGTCGCAGTGCCAATTTTCAATGTTGCTTGAAGTGATCCAGACTCGCTCCATGCCAAGAGTGATTCTAGTTGACGGATAGAGAACTTTCAAGCGTAACGGAAATAGATGCGCGGGAGTGTTAGGATGTCGGACTTGGCACGAACATGCTTAGCTTGCCCAGTGCTCTTCTTCTCTCTGATCTCGCCTCCTTCGCTCTCGCCCCCCACTTACGGTCCATTCCGATCCGATCGATCTGATTCGATGCCCAGTGTTCCTGATTCGATCTAAGTCAATTCTGATTTGCGGGCGATCCAGTGCGGCTCATCGCTTGCACGGTTTAGTTTTGTATCTTGGCGCAGCCGAGACGACTCGACTTCGACTCCGTGCCGAACCAGCCCGATCCGAAGCAATCTCCGACACAACCTGATTTCACGATTCGATGCTGACTGATCTCTCCCCCGCTCCTCCCGTTCTCGCGCCCTTTCCCCCCGCGGCCACTTCAAACGCAGTCCCGCTCAAGCAGCCGCTGGCAGGGGCTGCGCAGGGACCCCCCTCCCCAGTGCTCTGACGGCGTGGCTTTTGTTCACAGCGTGGACCCCATGAGGTCTCACCCTTTTTCCTGGGACCGGCTCTCCATCCTGAGTCATTGTTTGATGGTCCTGGGGCCTAGCTATGGCCCCCTCTGTTCCCCTCCGGTCCGCGACCGGCCCAAACTTTCCTGGCACATTTTTTTTGGTACGACGAGGGCTCAGACAGCTGCAACATGTTTTTTTTGAACCGCGCGGCCCCAGAGTTTCAACTCGTACCAGGCACAGTTCCGATGGCCCTTGGGCCCGATGACGAGCCCCCAGAGGAAGAACGCTGGGACTGCAAAAGTCAAGGCATTGAAGATCTGGGTAGGTCAGGGTCCCCCAGCGCGTCACAAGTCTCAGGGGCAACGCTAGGGCGGGATAGGCTCAGAGCCCCGACGGGGGCGCGATAGTTAGCCGGTGGCCCGCCCAGCCCAACACCGTGCGGATTCGCTATCGGGGGCCCCAGTGCCGCCGATCTGCCAGCTTGAGCTAAAACGACGCGAAGATCGGGACAAAATCGGATCGGGATAACTCGAAATTTTTGAGAATCGGCGGGTTTGGAGGATGTATTGGGCGCCGCGGCCGCTCCAGAGCGTTCCGGAACGCTCTGAGAGCGCTCCGGAACGCTCTGGAGCGATTTATCCCGATCCTAGCCCTGTTTTATGAGCCCATCCAACCCCCTGTCGTCGCCCCCCAGCGTCGCGCGGAGAGCCTTCGGTGCGGGCCGCGCGCGGCCTCCGCTCAGAGATGGCGGCGTCGCTGGAGGACCGCCTGGCCGCCGTGGAGGCGCAGCTGGCGGCGCTGGCGGGCGGTGCGGGCGACGCGGAGGCGGGGCCTCTCGGGTGGGCCCTCCCCCTCGGGGCTCAACGCTGTGGAGGGCGATCACTGGAGAGGAAGCGCGTTGCCCAATACTTTCCAGGTGTCTAAAACAGGGTTTAACATCGTTGAAGCATAGTTAAAAAACATGTTTAAGACATGTTCAGAAGGTGTGTTCCGCCATTTGAAAGACAGTTGAAGTCCAATGATAGGACTGTTCGGGTGTCCATTGTCGTGGCATCCACAAGCTCAACGCGACGGGCGTCGGCGCCAGCCAGGGTTCAGCCAATCCCCGGTGGCTGGTCAGGGCCTGGGAGCCACGCGAGGCCGACTCCCCGTGTTTCCGCCCTCCGCTGGCCCGGGTTTGGGAGCTATGGGGAGGACGGCCAGCCTGCGCTGGCCCGCGTCGGTGCGTCTCCGTCGCCCCCTGCCCAGGCACCCAGGAGGAGGAGGAGGAGGAAGAGGAGGAGGAGGAGGAGGAGGAGGAGGAGGAGGGGGAGGAGGAGGGGGAGGAGAGAGAGGAGGAGGAAGAGGAGGAGGAGGAGGAGGAGGAGGAAGAGGAGGAGGGAGGAGGGAGGAGGGAGGAGGGAGAGGAGGAGGGAGGAGGAGGGAGGAGGAGGGCCGTGAAAGTTATCGTGCTTCGAGGGGCCCCCACCCGAGAACGCGAGCCGGGATCCCCTGGGAGCACTGCAGGCTCCCTCGGGGGGGGGCCTGGCTGTTGCGGCTCTCTTCTGCAGCCGTCGTTCATCGTCGAAGACGCGAGGTGGGAGCAACGGAACCCTGCGGACCTGGCGGCTGCGGTATGGCGGGTTCGACTACACTTCGCTGGAGTGACCTTTGGGGCGGGCTCACTGGGACCCCCCTTCGCCGGGGCCCCCCCGATCAATGATCGCGATGCGATACTGGCTGCTTTTGCGCTTGGATTTGGCCTCCCTGCGCCCCTCAATCCGCGCAGTGAAGGTCACTCCTGCCTGGGGTCACTCTTGCGTTTAACCGACGGGTGTGCGAGGCGGGTCGGGAGGTCTTCTGTCGAAGAGGCCTACGGCGAGTCACCGCCGCTCCCTGCCTTGTCGGATACGCCTACGGGGCCAAACGTTTGGGCAAAGTTTGGCCACGCTATTAGACTTATTAGACCAGGCGTTCCCCCAGCCGTTGTGGAAGTTCATCGGGGAACACGTGGGGGAGGAAGAGGAGGAAGAGGAGGAGAGGGAGGGAACAGGAGAAAAAGGAGAGAGGCAGGAGAAGGCCTCTTGGGAGCTTTGGGGCCACTCTTCGGGCTTCCTGGGAGCTTCCTGGGAGCCTTTTGGATGGAGGTCCTCGGGGGCCTCCTTGGGCCTCTTGGGGTCCTTTGAGGGCTTCTTGGGGGTCCATTTGGCTTTCTTACGGCGTTCCTCGCCCGTCTGATGCCGCTGGAGGCCGTATTTAATGTTTCTCTGAACCGATTTGGGGCCCTCCTGGGGCGCTTCAGGGACG